GTAACATTTGAAGTTTTAATTTAGTGCAATATTTTGTCATTGCAACATTTTAGTGCAGCCTTCACTAACAACTGCAATTGGATTTATATTGTACAGCTAAATTCACTGTTATCCCACCGGTCACTTGTGTGACCAGCAACATGTTTACTCATTCTATGACCACACTCAACAAAACTGAATATATGTGAATTCATATATTAATACTAGACACTTTAAAGATAATGTGTACCAAAAATCTGTGTCATATATTTATGTCGACATACTTTACTAGCCTTTCGTTTTGGAGCTTCATCTTCTCACGGTGCAAACTGGAATTAAACTGCTCTGGTCATGTGACAGTATGCACTAACCATGTGACACTGCACAAATTTAATCGAGACCCTTTATTTTTTCCATATTTGCAGGAAATGCACTAAAACATTAGTCAGTGAGGTTTTTAGAGCTTTATAAATGAAAACCTTTTTTACGGTCACTATTGAGACCGGTGGGATTAAATGGTTTCATACAATCACACATACACAAACTGTGCAATTAACTATCTTTATTAATGCATCCTTTCTGCAAGTTATTTTCAATTATGGTGGAGAAAATATCAACACTGGCAAAAAATGGTGGGGACATGTCCCACCCGCAAATTACGCCTGTGTTCTCAGCCCATTTCGCTTCTGTAATATAATGGGTTTCTTTGTGCAACAAGATATTCAGCATTGCATGCATGCTATTTGTCCTGGCATTGAAGTGATGGTGTAAAGTGTGTGTTTCAGCTCTGAATGTGAGTTTGCAGTGCATTGTGGGGGATCTGCACTTCCGAGGAAGCTTTTTTTGACCAGGACATGGAGGTTGAAGGTCATTTTCTCCAGCGCATCTCGACGCGTCTCAACGTGTCACTTTTTCATTTCTAGCGTTAATTGATTTTATTTTTGTATTATTCTTTAATGCATTAAATCACTGTGTATCGACAGTACAAGTGACAAGATTGTAGAAAGACTAACATTAGTTTGCATTTAATGTAACTAATAGCCTGCACAGCCTCACTGACATCAGATGAAAAGGAAAGTTATTTTAATGAACGATTACAAAGACAAACTTATTTAATTTCGTCTTTTTTTTTAGAAAGTTTTTATTTTTTAGAAAGATTTTATTTGTTTAGGAAGTTTTAGAAAGATTTTATTTAAATGATTTATTTTAATTTTAAATTTTTTATTGTTTATTTGCTTATACAATGTCCTTGTGTGAATAATTTTGATATTATCCAAAGACATATTTATTTCCGTAAAATGCCTCTCTGAAATGAGTAATATATAAAAAATAAATATATTAAATATTTTATAAAACATTTTACAATAAGTAAATATGTTTTAGAACATGTTGTATAATATATTTTATAATAAACATATTTTATAATTTTTTAATTCCATTTTAAAGCAAACACTGCACGATTATTAGACATCTATTTGTATATATATAATATATTTGATAAGTTCTTATTCTTTTTTTTGTTGTTATTTATTGCTTATTTGCTTATATAATGTCCTTGTGTGAATAATTTTTAATATTATCCAAAGAAATGTATTTATTTATTTATTTTTGGTAATCTTTCATTGTAATAACTTTCTTCGCCTCTGAAACTAGTAATATATTAAATGCATATATTAAATATATTTTATAGTAAATATTTTAATTCCATTTTAAAGGAAGCACTGTGCATGTTTATAAGACTCCTCCGTATGCATATTCATACCTTTTATTTGCATATTTCACCAGTTTTGCCTTTGGAAAAGTTTGGATTAAATGATTTGAGCGTTGTCCTCACTAAATTTGCACCATTGTGCACCACAAGACTCCTGCAGACCTCATTAACATGCAGCGTTTATATCGTAAACTGATTTTTAGAGTACGGCGGTGACTCTAAATGCAGTTAATTCGCATGAGGTACAGACTATGTTGTCGTCTCTGGTTTGGTCTTTTGCCAGGCTTTAACTCACGACCCTCCAACCACACGCTGGCATTTTAATCTGAGCGCTGCGGATCGGGCCGGACAGGCCGCTTTGACTTTGTTCAGCCGTCGTCTGACCGGACGCTCGTGGATTCAGAAACAAGCGAAAACACGAGCGCTGAATGGCACATAAATGTGTTTCCTTCAGGATTACTCTGTCATTTAGTGTCTAAATTGTGAGGGAAACAGATTTATTTCTATACAGCGTTAAAGCCTGATATAGAGTACACAAGAGATTATTCTGGTCGCGATCTGTATACTAAAGCTAAAACCATAAAAGCTTGAAATAAAATAAACAAAAATAACCACTTTATTCAACGATTTCTTGTCTTCCATGTCAGTACTGAAATTGTTGAATAAAGTCGTTATTTTTGTTTTCTTTGCGCACAAGACGTATTCTCGTAGCTTCATAACATTATGTTTGAACCACTGATGATACATGGACTATTTTAACAATGTCCTTACTGCCTTTCTGGGCCTTGAACGTTTCAGTTGTGTTGCTGTCTATAGAGGGACATGAGGGTGAGTAGCTAATTAATGACAGAATTTCCATTTTTGGGTGAAATATCCCTTTAAAAAAACAAAAAACAAGCAAATTTCACAAACAAAAACTACTAAAAATGAAAACAGAAAATCTTAACTTCAATCAATTTTCTATTTAAAAAAACTAATAAAAATTAGAAAAATACTCATGTTAAAACCCTCATCCGTCCCTAGGGTCATTTTGACCCAAAAGGTTTTTTTAAATAAATGTTAAAAACCATGTGTTGATCGTAACCGGTCCAAGATTTCTTAACTCTTGTCACACTTGCACCGGGAATACACAAATCATTTTTTGAGTGGATTCGAGGCGTTTAAATGGGTGCAATAAAAAAAAGTAACAAAAGTGTCCCTCGCGGTCATTTTGACCCGCATAGCCCCCGCGGGTCATTTTGACCCGTATAGGAATGAATGGAATTTACGAGAAAACTGCATTTTTCATTACATTTGATTTTTTTTTATATACAAAATCTGAGACAATCCAGTAAAGATTTATACCCAAACGAAGGGCTGAGACTACAGAATAACCCCAATGCAGAAAAAACTCACATACACACATGCACCAACACACACATGGTACACACACTCTCATAGAACACATTGTAATATTTTTCATGTTTCTGCTGGGATATGACTGTCATTTTTCCATTTTTTTTGACTTAACACAGTTAGATTTGAGTAATGTGGTGGAGACCAATGAGTTTATATCATATATGTTTCTGCTGGGATATGACTGTCATTTTTCCATTTATTTTTTTACTTAACACAGTTAGATTTGAGTGATGTGGTGGAGACCGAGTTTATATCATATTTATATTTTTAAAAATATATTATATATTTATTTCATATTTATGAAATTGTATGAATATACATATGTTTAGGTTATAATTCAGTTAGAATTTGTATTATTATTATTTATTTATTTATTTTAGATTTTTTTTTTTTTCAAGATATGGATTTTGTAATGTTTCAATATATATTTTAATCCATAAACAACCAAACTGAAGCTTTAAGATTATCTAATTTCTCATGTTTCACTTGTTTTGCTCAGTTAAAAATCTCCATAGGATCCTATGGATTGCATTTTTGTGGCTGTAACCATAAAATGCAATTTTATGTCATTTTTCCCACCAGATGGCATCAGAGACACTCAGTGACTCAATTCCAAGGCCATCTGTTGGTTTTTGATGAAATAGGACTGAAATTGTGTCTTTATTTTTATTTGTTTATTTTTATTTTTTGGTGAAATAATGTACAAAAACTGCTTATTTGCTTATGTTTTCTTAAAAATATCCAGAATAAAAAAGTAAATATGATAAAAAGCACCAAAAAATAATAGAAAAACCTACATAAAAAAAATTGAAAAAAAAAATGTTCCAATATAAGCTTTCTGGACCAAAAATAAAATTAGTGTAATTTTTGCCCTTCGGGTTATTTTGACCCGCGAGGGACACTTTTGCTATAGGTTCGGGAGGGATCGATGAGGGTTTTAAATGAACAAAACTTCAAATGAAAACAAAATATAAAAATGTTAACTATTTCAAAATATTAATAATATATAATACTCTGCATAAATAACTAAAACTACAAATTAATAAAAAAAACTAGAAATAAAACAAAAATAAAATGACTAAAATGTTAACAAAAATTAAAATGAAAACTGAAAATATTAAAGCTCATTCAAAATATTAATAAAATCATAATACACAATGATACTAAAATAACTACAATTAAAACTAGATTTAAAAATAATAACTATATCCACCTTTTTTTTTCCGTAAGAGCGGGCGCGGCTATTTGTAAATGTAATGGGTCTGGCTTCCGGCGTCATCCTCTTCCAGCTACTTTTAGCTGTACAAAACAGCTCGTTTTGCTGCTTGATATTGCAAATTGGTGTGTTTACTACATTATTTTAATGTATTATCTTAACTATGATCACACTGGTTTATAGTGTAAAAAGTTTTACCGTTTACTGCACTTTGAACCGGAAGTCTGGCACATTCACAGAAAACGACTTACTTCCGCGTTGAAAAATAAGGTCGATAGACATATTTAAAAAAAACAAACACACACACAACAAATATATTAAAATGTTAAATTTAAATGAAAACAGCGGCATGTGCTCCGGTTGTATTGTAAACAATGTCGTCAATATCGCTTATCAGTTTGAGCCCGATTGAGAAGCAGAGGACCAAACCCTCCTTCTTCTTTAGGAAGGTACAGTACACTTTTTGGTACCCAGTGCAACTTGTCCCAAAAGAAATCCACTAAACATGACTGAATCTTAGATAAAATATCTACTGGGGGATCTATGCAACTTAAACGATGCCAGAGAGTAGAGGCAACTAAATTAGTTATAACCAAAAGTCGTCCTTTATATGACATCTTTGGAGCTAGAAACTTCCACCTATCGAGGCGCCCTTTTACCTTCTCAAAAGCCCTTTTATCAGTTTGGGCCTCTTTCCTAGGACAATCACGTACAAGATGTCCATTTTCTTTACACCCGAAACATTTCATTGAATTCGTTGTGACATAAATCACATAATTGAAACTTTCATGACTAAAATTTAAAGTCAAATCCAACTCTTCAGTGTTGTCTTTTAAAATCATATAGACATAGCGTCGGAAGGACACCACATGTTTCAGCAGGGAAGATTTACTCCCAATTGCAATCATTTTTATTGTCGAAACTAATTTGCCATAACGCGACAGCATTTCCGCCAAAACCTCATTTGTTATAAATGGAGGCACATTCGATAACGTTACACGTTTCGACGGGGCTGAAAGGGGAAGCACCTGAGTAAAAATTCCATTAATTTCTACACCTGTTTCCACCAGTTGATTCGCCAATTCAATCGTCTTAACAAATATAACAACGGCACTATTCATCCTTGAGGCTGACAAAATATTCTCACAACCAATTAACGTACCTACAGCCAAACTACATTCCTCCACTCCAAACACTGAATCAATTTTGACCGCATGCCGTCTAGTTAAGTGGCTAAAGCTCTCCTTCCCTGGAAACGCCATGCTCCCAGTTTAAAAACTGGGAGCAAAGAACCCAGCACTTCAACCACTTCACCACTAATTACAAAAACAACAAAAAAATATATATATAAAGAAAAAAAGAAGGAAAGAAAGAATAAACACTAGCACCTCACACTCCTGCTCACACACTCCGCACTCAACGTTCCTCCCACTTACTCGCACATGCGCAAACAGACAGAGAGAGAGAGAGAGAGAGAGAGAGCGAGAGAGAGAGAGAGAGGCAGAGCGTGTGTAGAGCTGCGGACGCGAGGAACAGTATTAAGAACCGTTGCTTTAGAACATTGATTTTGAATCTTGTGAATCCATTGGAATCGTTAGAAAACAGAATCATGATTCATATAGCTATGAATAGATTTTTACGTGCACCTCTAGTTTTCTCTTCCTCTTCTCTAAAGCAGGTCAGCATGGCCTCGCCCCTTTTGCTGCCTTTTCCCAGGGGCGGGGTTTATCTGGGTTTGTGATGTCACGAACCCGGGAAGTAACTCGTTGTAGTCCCTACCAGCCGTTTTTGTAGGCATTAAACCGCCAGAATTTTAAAAGACGATATCTCCGTTTGCATTGAACTTTCAGCTTAGTAACTTTGCAGATATTGTTTATGCTCAAACAGCAACATTACACACTAACTAACGTTAAAAAAGTGAAATCGCAATCAACCACCCCTTTAACAATACTAACCCTGAATCTGGTTGTGTGCTGATCAGACATGAGCTGCGTCCCAAATCAAAGGCTGCGTTCTTCGAAGGATGCATTCAAAGACGATTGCGGCTCGACGAAGGCTGTTCCAGTTCGAGGCTCCTTCAAACGCAGCCTCGAAATCTTACTGAGATGCGATTTTATAGATGGTTAATACTTATTATGTACATAAATGGACCACGGTGAGCATATTTAGAAGGTTGTGCATATTTATACAGGTGGTGTTTAGTTTTCAGACAGTTTAATATCACCGTTGCTAGGCGACAAGACCAATCCTTCGTAGGACCGTCCCATTTCACAGCGCTCGGTCAGACCTTCACCCTCTTCGAAGGCGTGGCCTTTAAAGTCTGCAACCTTCGATGGATCCAGCCTTCGAATGGGGACACAGCTATTGAGTCTGTCTCCGGGTCAGTCTGTCAGAGACGCCCGTCGTCACGGTGACCAGCTGATGAGGAGGGACAGATTCTGGTAATTTCACGGTTTCCAGGTTTAAGGAAGTCAGCAGTTTTAAATGACACCTCACTTTCACACCACCTGAGATACGAGCGGCGGAAAGAGAAACCGAGACAGAGAAAGTTTGATTTTTAACTTCTCTATCATCTGCCAAATGCATAAATATAAACAAGAACATCGTGATTATTCAGATCTCACACACACAGTGACCGTAGGGAAGACGGGAGGAAATAGACCGAAAAGAGGAAACAGACAGAGAGAAATGAGATCCAGCAGAGATCAGGAAGCAGCGCCTCGGGTGGTTGGGTAATTACCATGGAAACGGCTCCGTTTCCCCGTGCATTATGGAGTGCATTTGTGTCCCTGAATGCAGCGTGCAAACTGTAGTTTCAAAACACGACAACACGAACACAGAATGAGAATAAGTGTTCACATGGTTCTAATGCACACTGTAGTACATATTTCTGAGTATGTACTAGATCAGCGGTTCCCAAATGTTTTCGTCAGCCAAATCCCTGTCAGCTACAATATTTACTTGAAGTCACTTTGAGATTTTGGCTTAATATTTCAATTATTTGGCAACCAATTTGCATGTTCACGGTTCTCTGATGTCAGTTAATGGTCACATGACATGCAGCTAAACAAATAAAATAATTGATCTTACTAAAGCTGCGTCGCAAATGATGCACTATACACTTATACACTATGTACTTATGCTCTATGCACTCAACCAAATTGGGATGCACCTTAAGAAAGTGTTTTATTTTGATTATTTTAAAATTATGTATTTATTTTCATTTTAATTTATTCCAAATAAAAGATTCTGATGTTTTAGTAAGTGTTTTATTTTATTTTTTTTTCAAATATTTCATATTTTTCAGAAATCTTTTTTTTTTTTCAATAAATCAAATTTTCAATTTTATTATATTTATATTTTAATTCAAAATGTTTTTTGGAACATTTATTTTAATGTGTTTTTATTCATTTATTTGTTTTAATTTTAAGTATTTCACATTTTTAGTAATTGTTTTGTTTTTACTTTCAAATAAAATATTTAATATTTTTAATTGTTTTATTTTGATGTTTTTTATATATATATATATATTTTTTTTGTATCTTATTTTGAATTTCATACTTTTTGATAACTGTTTTATTTTGTTTGTTGTTCTTTTAAAATTATGTATTTATTTTAATTTTTTCAAAATGTTCATATTTGTTATTCATTACATTTTTTATGTATTTATTTTATTTCAAATAAAATATGCTTTTTTCTTAAATGTTTTTTTTTTTTTGATTGATTTCAAATAATGTTTTTGCTAATTGTTTTATTTTGGTTGTTTTAGTTAAAATGTATTTATTTCATTCTTTATTTATTTTTACATTTTTATGATTTAATTAATAATTGGGTCATCAAAATATTGTGTCATCATATTATTTTTTCTGTTTTTCCTGTAGTTCAAACAGTAGATGATGGCGCTTGCAACACCGAGGTCATGGATTTGATTCCCAGGGAGTGCATAAACTAATCAGATGTACACCATGAATGCAAGTCTCTTTAGTTAAAACCATCTTCCAAATGCATAAAAGTAAATTCTCCTCCTACAGCTGTATCTTTCTGTTCATGTCAGGAATTATGGGTAATGTTTAAATCTGTTTAGCTGTATGCTTTACATTTGCACCTTCACTGTGTTCAGTTTTTTTTTTTGTTCAAGATTGAATATTTGTCCATTGCTCATCTCAGGTGAATATGAGTGTGTTGTGTTTATGGTTCACGATAGATGTGTGTGTGTGAGGATTGTGAATGCTGGATTGTGAGTCTGAATCCGAGCGTTTATTCAGGGAAAAAGGTTTTTCTGCTCTGTAAACAAACTCACCAGCTCTGTGTGTGTGTGTGTGTGTGTGTGTGTGTGAGTGTGTGTGTGTGTGTGTGTGTGTGTGCGTGCGTGTGTGTGTCTGTGTGTGTGTGTATTTAAAGGCCTGTGGTGTGTCAGGACCCCATCACTCTTGATTTGTGTGTTTGTCTGACACGGCCCTCAGTGTTGTGAGTAGCTCAATTACCCAGAACCCCCGGCTCAGTGGTTTATTAGGAGTGATGGAGGGATGGCACACATTGGACAGCATGTCTGCACCATTTCCCACAAGGCTGTTCACTTGCCTCTCCATCATGTAATTCACCATCTGGAGTGGCGGAGATGGACACGAGTGAACCGGAGGGATGAGAATGATCCACATCTGAGAAAAAAATGAGGAAGAGGCCTTTAATGAGGAGACGGAGGCTTTTATTTGCTATAATTAGAGCGTTTGGTTTGTTTGAAGTTTATATTGTGATTTCTTTTAGTTTCAGGTATGAAAGCAGTTCAGCTTCATCTACAGGAGTGAAGCAGTATAAATGGGATAAGTGTTTCTTCATCATCATCATCATCCTCAGATCAACAGAAGTGCTTTCAGAATAAAGATGCAGCTTCCAAAACACATACACGCCAAGAATGCTAGGTCTGTCTTTACCTGAGAGTCAAATGTTCTCACTAAAAGTGAAATGTTGAATTAAAATCGCTTTTTAACTTTTTTAAAAATGACTTATAAAATGACTTATTCTATTAAAATGATTTAATAGAAGGGATTTATATTTTTTATTTAAAATTAATTATATTTCATTATATCTTAATATTTTCTGAAACATTCTATATACACTAATGATCAAAAGTTTAAAATAATTGTTTTTTAAAGTTTTTGAAAGAAGTCTCTTCTGCTCACCAAGGCTGCATTTATTCGACCAAAAATACAGTAAGTACAGTAAAAATTTTGAAATATTATTACAGTTTAGAATAACTGTTTTCTATGTGAATATCTGTTAAACTGTAATTTATTTCTGTGATGCGCAGCTGTATTTTCAGCATCATTACTCCAGTCTTCAGTGTCACATGATCTTCAGAAATCATTCTAATATGCTGATTTGCTGCTCAAGAAACATTTCTGATTATTATCAATGTTGAAAACAGTTGTGCTGCTTCATATTTTTGTGGAATCTGTGATGCATTACATTTTTTTAGGATTCACAGATGAATAGAAAGCTCAAAGGAACAGCATTTAATTAAAATATAATTTTTTTGTAACATTATAAATGTATTTACTGCCACTTTTGATCACTTTAATGCATCCTTACTGAATAAAAGTAATAATTAATCATTTTTATTTATCTTACGTACTATATTGTATCATGGTTTCCACAAAATATTAAGCAGAAAAAACTCTTTTCAACAATGATAATAATCAGAAATGTTTCTTGAGCAGCAAATCGGCTCCTAAATGGTCCACATGATTGAATGTAAATCACATGATGTGCACAGGTTTCTGAGAGAGCTGGTTCAGGGTTTGGAGACAGAAAAACAATGGAAGTCTATGAGACGAGCTCTCTAATGTAGTTTCTGTGTGTGTCAGTTGTTTGCTGTAATATGAGCATAAGAGGTAATTGCAGATTTCATATCAGACCCCATTATGCCGTTTTACCGTATTAATTTTTGATGAGCATATGATTACCTTCTTCCTCAGAACACAACGTGGCTCTGTGGCTCCGGATGAATGAAGATCTGCTGGAGTTGCATTGATATATATGAGAATATAAATGAAATTGATTTTTTTAAAATGTGCATTTTAATATAATATAGTTTGATATACGTAAAGCAGTTTTATTTTCAGCCCACGGCCCTAAATCAAGTTTGATTTGTGGCCCTTCATAGTTAAATTCATCCCTGCATTAGGATATTCTAGACTGTGTCCCGCCTAATCGCAGCACTTCAGTCCATTTTGAAGTTTGTTTTGGTCTTTTTACTGACACACGACTCAATCTGTGACGTTTAGATCCTTTTTACTCGACGAATTCAAAGGTCAGCGTTCACCAGACTTCGCTACCAGTGTTTCATTGATATACTACTGTAGTTTTTGTTGAAATTAATTTTATTTTTATATTTTCTGTTTTCACTTTAATGTTAGCTTTATAGTAATTGTGTTGTGTTTTTGTCATTTTAGTTCATTTTATTTATGTTTTTAATGTCTATATCATTTTATAATTTTTTTATTAGTTTTATTTTATTTCATTTTATCGCTGGGGTATATTTGTAGCAATGGGCAAAAATACATTGTATGGGTCAAAATTATCAATCTTTCTTTTATGCCAAAAATCATTAGGATATTAAGTAAATTCCATGATTAATTCCATGAAGATATTTTGTAAATTTTCTACTGTAAATATATCAAAACTTAATGTTTGATTAGTAATATGCATTGCTAAGAACTTCATTTGAACAACTTTAAAGGCGATTTTCACAATATTTATATTTTTTTGCATCCTCAGATTCCAGATTTTCAAATAGTTGTATCTCAGCCAAATATTCTCCTATCCTAGCAAACCAGACATCAATGGAAAGCTAATTTATGTATAAATCTCAATTTCAGGTTTTGTGGTCCAGGGTCACATTTTAGTACTCAAAATAAAACTAAATGAAAATGGGGAATGTTACTTCTGCAACTAGATGAAATAAAATAAGGTGACTTTTAAAATTTCAGTTAATGTATATTTTTTAAATATTTTCTTTTAATTATAATGATATTTTGTAAATTTATTTTAATTAGTTATTTTTTGTTATTTTTACATGTAATTATTTTAGTCATTTTTTAATGGTTTTATTTTTTGTTTTAGTTAACTATAAAAACCCTGTGCGGGTGCTGTTTAACTCCAGGTGTGTTTAATTTCCCTGCTGGACTAAAGCTGCGGTTAAACTCGGCCTGAGCTCCATTTACTCCCAGTCATGTGCGCGTGAACGCAAACAAGCAGAAACACAAACACATGCAAAGAATTTTCATCTTTACTGTGTACACTGAAAAAAATGTACTAATTTTTTGAAGGTAAGTGGTTGCAATCAATTTATTTTAGCTACATTTAAATAAACAAATTTTGCTGAAAGTTAGTCAGCTAAATTTTTTTATTTAAATGTAGCTAAAATAAATTGATTGCAACCACTTACCTTCAAAAAATTAGTACATTTTTTTCAGTGTACACAGTAAAGATGAAAATTCTTTGCATGTGTTTGTGTTTCTGCTTGTTTGCGTTCACGCGCACATGACTGGGAGTAAATGGAGCTCAGGCCGAGTTTAACCGCAGCTTTAGTCCAGCAGGGAAATTAAACACACCTGGAGTTAAACAGCACCTGATTTGTTGGTAAAGTCTCATGGGAAACTCTCACACACACACACACAGACACACAGCGAACAGAGACACAGAGGAGGAGAGATGGATCCGTTCTGCTCTATTTCCATCAGGTCTCCTCTCTTTTTCACTGTCATATCTGACTGGATCTTCAAAACAAGAGCTGAGTGTGTGTTTGTGTGTCACAGCTCCACATGCTTCAGCTTTTGTCTCCACATTTACATACAATGGCACTGTTCTCCAATAGCATACAACATCTGGCCTGAATAAAGTACTGTTTCTGTTCGATATAAATGCAGTGAATGTAGATGCGTAACCTTCATGTGATCGTCCACCTCTGGAGACTGTAACTAAATATTACATCAGATTTTGTTTTGTATTCACCTTAAGTGTGCCGCCTTTGAAATGAAAGAAAAATGTTTGCTTAATAATTGAACTTTGTGAAGGACATCAACAGTAAAATTTAGAAAATATTAACAGGGGAATTCATAGTTTTGATGTTTAAAGCATAAAAAATTAAGATAATATTTTATCTAAAATATCTGATAGTTCTCAACACAAGAACAAGGGATAAATACATAAAATTAATAAAATAAGGCTTCTTTACTGGCATCTATGGTTCCACGAAGAGCCTATAACATCCATGTAATCTTTTCTTTGCGCGTTATTAAATTATTAGATTATTCAAATGTTCTTCACACTATGAAAAAAAAAACATTTTTTTAAGAAAGCATTTGTCTTTGTCTGTCCTGATGGACGGGTCCTCACAGAAGAAGCTCAGCCATTCTTCTGCAATCAAACATTCATAAAGCAAACGAGGCTCTGCTGTGGAGAACATCCACACAAATCAAGATCATCTCAAGACATGTGCACTGAGGTGAGTGACTCAGAGCTCATCACTTAATTAAGAAGGTGATTTGAGTCTAATTTAAGCAGTTAATTTCCTCCTGGCTTATGAAAGGGTGTGTCTGAAGATGTTTTTATGGTTTTCATCAGCTAATTCACTAGCACAATTAATAAAATCAACATGTAGCTTTAATAAAACGAGCACGCGTCTCATTTAAAGGCTCTTTGAAGAACACTAGAAATGTCTACATGCACTGTCCAAATGAATCCAATCCGATTTTTGTTATATAGTATTTATTAATATTTTAAATTGGCTTTTTTATATTTTCAGTTTTCATTTTTATTTTAGTTTGTTTTTTATTTTTAGTTAGTTTTTTTTGTATTTCTGTTTTGCATTATATTTATTTCAGTTTCAGTTTTAATTTTGAATTTATTTATTTTTTTATATTTTCAGCATTCATTTTAATTTTAGTGTAAGTTCCAGTAATTCTATGTGCTTTTGTCATTTTCCTTAGTTTTAGTATTTTATTGTTTCTATTTAGCTTTATATTTATCATTATATATTTTATATTTATACAATCTGATTGAGATTCAACAACCTTGCTTTTGTAATTTTTATTAGTTTTAGCTTTTTTTATATTTATTTCCATTTTAGTTTTATTAATTTTAGTACTTAAACATATTTTTTTATTTAGTTGCCATGGCAACATTTCTAATTTTCATTTAAGTTAAATTTTGTCATGTTTATTAGTTTTAATAAACTTTTTTTAGTTAGCTTTATTTTGGTTTTAATTTTAATATATTAAAGGGATACTCCACCCCAAAATGAAAATGTTGTCATTAATCACGTACACCCATGTCGTTCCACACCCGTAAAATCTTCGTTCATCTTCGGAACACAATTTAAGATATTTTGGATGAAAACCGGGAGGCTTGTGACTGTCCCATTGACTGCCAAGTAACTTACACTGTCAAGGTCCAGAAAAGTATGAAAAGCATCGTCAGAATAGTCCATCTGCCATCAGTGGTTCAACCGTAACGTTATGAAGCGACGAGAATACTTTTTGCGTAGCGCCATTTTGGAGAATATCCACTGAATGCAAGCAGCTTACGCGCTTCTGTGTCAGCCACGCCACAAGGATGCGCTGTTTTCATTCAAATCAAAGCTTAAATACACGTAGAAAATGTATCCTTGTGTCACGGCTGACACAGAAGGGCGTACGCTGCTTGCGTTTGTCTCATATTCTCCAAAATGGCGCTACGGTGATGCGAACAGACATAGAGGTGACGAATTGTTGAATAAAGTCGTTATTTTTGTTTTCTTCGCGTACAAAAAGTATTCTCGTCACTTCATAACGTTACGGTTGAACCACTGATGGCAGATGGACTATTCTGACGATGCTTTCATAATTTTCTGGACCTTGACAGTGTAAGTTACTTGGCAGTCAATGGGACAGTCACAAGCCTCCTTCATCCAAAATATCTTAAATTGTGGTCCGAAGATGAACGAAGCTTATACGGGTTTGGAACGACATGGGAGTAAGTGATTAATGACACAATTTTCATTTTGGGGTGGAGTATTCCTTTAACTAAAACTTTTTATTACTAAAAGGCAACATTTCTAATTTTCATTTAAGTTTTTGTCTTATAATTAAATTTTACCTTATTCCAGCTGTGTCTCAGTTAACGAAAACGATTTAATGGTTTGATGGAAATTCCAGTCGGATCGATTGAGGTGTTTACATGAAGGTTGCATGTTTAAACGTAGCCAGTGTCTGCTAAACAAATGCATGCAAAAGTATAATGCCCAAAAATGCTGTCTAGTTTGGTTTTGAGATACAGCCAGTTTAATTGAAGCTTCATTGGTTCATTTATCACCAGTAGAGGGACCAAACCCCTGCTCTCTCTCTCTCTCTCTCTCTCTCTCTCTCTCTCTCTCTCTCTCTCCAGTCGAGCCCCTGAACCAGAGTCAGACGCTGTTATTGGAGCAGGAAGCACACGGAGCACATGCTCTCTCGCTCACACGGATACAGGACCGTCACCTGTCTTCTCCTCACTGCTCCGCATCTGTGCTGGATTATCATCACCATCACACTCATCCATCAGGGACTCATCTAGCACTCCGCTCCGGACTCCAGACTGCAGCTTCATGGGAAAAACACTGGAGCAGCACCAGATGTTCCCGCACTACACCTGCTACTATCCGTCCTACGCTCACAGCAAGGTACTGTCTTCAGCTCAGTCTCTCTCTGATAGTGATGGATTGATTGACTTGATACTATTAGGACGAGTTGATTCACATTACATTACTACATTGATTCAGTGCAGTGTCAATGTTGCTAAATTAATCAATTATAAAACAAGTTCAGTTTTAAAGTTGCTCAACAGAAGATAATAGTCTCATTCAGTTCAATTTAGTTCAACATTAACTCCAACTGTCAATGTTGCAAAATTCAGTAAAGCAATTCAGTTCCATGATGATTCAGTTCAGTTCAAGAGCTGTCACTGGTGCAAAGTTCAATTATGAAACAAATTTAGTCTCTAAAGCAGCTCTACAAAACACAATGGTGTTGTAATTCAGCTCAATTTGATGTTGATTTAATTCAGTTCAGTGACGGTGTCAATGTTGGAAAATTCATCAATTATGAAACAAATTCAAAATCAACTATAAAGCAGCTTTAAAAAAAGGCAAGTGTCATTTAGTTGAAAAACCAATGTTTATTCAATTTAGTTCAATAAGTGTCAATGTTGCAAAGTTAATCAATTATGAAACTAATAACATTTACAATAAAGCACCTCTATAGAAGACAGTAGTGTCATTATGCAACTCAATTTAGTTATGTTGATTCACTTTACTTCAATAAGAGTGTCAGTGTTTCAAAATTCAATTCTGAAACGATTTCAGTTTCAGCTGTAAAGCGGCTCTACAGAAGACAACAGTGTCATTATTCAACTCAGTGTAGTTTATTTTGTTGATTCAGTTCAATGACAGTGTCAATTCAACTATGAACAATAGTTTATTTATTCAAATAAATGCAAATAAACATAAATTGACTTCAGTGTTTGAGGTATTTCAGTTTCTTTTTTTATTTTAACACACACACACACAAACAAACACACACCTCATAACTCTTGCTCAGTGAGACACAGTGTCAGGGTAAGTAGAGCATCACATGCATGTTTACTCAGTGCTCTAAATGTGGACATTGCAGAGACTTCTATTGTTTTTATACACAGCTAGTTACAAACACTATGACCTAACCCTAACAGAAAACGTTTAGCGTTTTTTACAATTTAAAAAAACGTATTTACTGTAAATCTGTATTTTTATATTATTTTTGTAAATGAGGATAGTCTCAAAAGGTTTTATAAATATCAATTTATCTTTGAATATTTAATTTTTTTTTTTGTTGTTGTTTTTTTACAGATGAGGATGTCCAGAAAAGATTTTATAAAATATATAAATGTATTTGTAAATATTTATCTTCTTTTTATACTCTTTTTACAAATGAAGACATACAGAAAAGTTTTTATAAAATATATAAATTTATTTATAAATATATATTTATTCGCTTTTTTTTAGTGCTGTTTTTACAAATTAGGGCATACCCAAAAGATTTTATCAATATTTAAATTCATTTATAAATATATATTACTTTATTTTTGTACTGTGTTTACATTTGAAGATGTCCCCAAAAGGTTTTCTAAAATATATGAATTTATTTATAAATATTTATTTACATTTTATACTGTTTTTTTTTGTTTGTTTTTTTTACAAATGAGGACATCCCTAAATGGAAGTTTTGTCAGGTTTACCCTCATTTTCTCATTTTAGGGAATAAATGTGTCCCCAAAATATGGTTCAGTAGACACACACCCCCTCTCTCTCTCTCTGTGTGTGTGTGTGTGTGTGTGTGTGTGTGTGTGTGTGTGTGTGTGTGAGCGTATTTTTGCTCATGTTCCTGAAGAGGTTTTAATGATGCACATATGAAATACTGCACATCTGTGTGCTGTTAAACACGGCCTATAAACACACAGCAGATGTTACGAGATGACGTTTGTCAGCTGAACAAGGGAAAGTCACATGATCGTTTCACAAAAGTACCATGGTCATACTATAGTACTTGGATATATATATCATAGTATTAAATGACTGGCATATTCATATAGTAAGGTAATACCCTGGTATCATGTGCAGATTCTTCTTCATTCTGTTTGTGTGTTTAAGATTGTTATAAATTCATCCAGCGTCTCTGAACATTCAGTCAAACGCAGAAACTGTGACACTGAACACTGACCTTTAATATCTGATCAATAGAGGGCGGCAGCACTGCGAACGTTAGCTGTGATTTCCCATGATTCTCCTCTGAGACCAAACTCAAATGAAACATTAACACATCTGTGACATCTAACTTTGATATCAGAGTTTGGTCAGTGACCTCTGACAGCCTGTACACACACACACACACACACACACACACACACACACTCTAGCCTGATGACCTTCAAGACTCACACACACACACACACTCACACACACACACACACACACACACACACACAGATTAATTTGTCTGCTATGGTGCTTTACTGTGACTTCTTTTAATATAAATATTTTTATAAACTGCTGTTCGGAAGTTTGGGGTTGGTGATATTTTTATATCTTTACTGTCACTTTTGATCAATTTAATGCATCCTTGTTGAATAAAAATAACAACAAAGTTTTACTAACCCCAAACTTTTACAGCATTAAATCACAGGAATGAGATTAAAAAGTGCTATAAAATAAGGAGTCATTTACTGTCCTTCAGACATCATGTATTAATGTCCTAATAGAGCGAGGAGACGTCGGTCACTGGTCTGGGATCAGGCTAAAAATATTCCTGTAATAAAACAGCCTAGTAAAAGATGGCATCAGTTATTAAGTCATTATATATGCATATGCTAATGAGGGACACAAAGGACGTGTGTTTAGCAGAGCGACCTTCATCCTCAGCCAATCAGATTGAGTCTCATTCTTCAGGAAGTTACAGTCACCATCCAGACAAACCGAATAAAAACAAGCCACTAAAAATAGTTTCACACCCCTTATTGAGAGAGAACGGATGAGATCCAGTGTTATTTTAGTATTGTTTACATATTATTATAGTATATATTTTATGTATTTAGAAATTAATATTTTGAATTGGCTTTTATTTTTATATTTTCACTTCTCATTTTTAGTTTAATTACTAATTTTATGTGCTTTTGCCATTTTTATTAGTTCTTTTTAAAAATATTTATCATTTTTATTTTTCAGTTTGTTTTCAGTTATTTTAGTAACTATTAATTGTAGTATTTCAACTTCAACTTATTTCAGTTAGTTGCCAGAAATATTATTGTTAATTTATATTATATTATTATTTATATAACATTTTAATATTAGGTAGAAACTTTAACTAAATGCATATTGGAAATGTTACCACATTTCTAATTTTCATTTGGATTCAGTTTTTCATCCAATATTTATATATTTATTTTAACTTTATTTCAATTAACAAAAACATTTTTGTAAAAATAGTTTGTTTTATTTTGATTTAAACTTTTCAGCAATTTTAGTACTTCAACTCAAACTTGTTTCAATTCATTGCAAAAAAAAATTTATAATATTTATATCATAGTATTATTTATATAAAATGTAAATATTAAATGAAAAACTTTAAGTAAATGGATATTAGAAATGTGTGTGTGTGAGTGAGTGTGTGTGTGTGAGTGAGT